TGGTACCAACCGGTGTAAGATTTTGTATTTGTGCCCTTCAGTTTGTATTTAACTAAGGAAATGGGGAGTTAATTGTCACTCACATCCCTGAAACTGATAAAAAACCCACAATTTACGGTGAGAAATCACCTGGAACCATTCAAACGCTGGTTGGTTTTGGCTCTTCCATCAGTCTATCTGAGTTCTTAATCACCTCTGACGTTCCCTCTCATGAATCCACTTCTGCTTAACCCCATTTGGCATCCTGAAATCTAATAAAAACACTCTTTTGCTGAGAGGGATGCAGAATGAGCACAGAGGCGTGTTGCAGCGTTTTGATCCAGGTGTGCGTTCGCTGTACATGTCGGCCGTGGAAGCTCCGCCCGTCTCGGCTGCTCACGTCAGGAGGGTGTGTTTGGAGGCGGGTTCTCCAGCAGAGCCTGGACCGTGATGCCCAGCTTCACCAGGCCTTTCTCCTCCAGGATGTGGTGAGGAAGACACAGTTTGTCCTGGGAGACCAGAGTCAGGGCAGACAGAGAGGACAGGAGAAGAAAAGGAGGAAGTGTAGGAGCAGCAGAAAAGAGACAAGGGCAGCAAAAGATTTAGAAGTTTTGACTTCACCGCTGGCAAAAACATGTTCAGCACATACACCAGGTCTGCACTGGTACCTGATGCTTCCAGGAAACAGCCACAGCCCCACACTCCCTCCACAGTCCTACTTAACTTTTAGATATTCACAAATATATATTACTGCTTGTTGGTGGATTTTTGTTCATTTACTGTAAAAATTATACACAAGTAGGATAGGGTTGGGTTTCGAGAACCGGTTCCAAGTTGGAATTGGCACCAAATTTCCAAGAACCTTGGATTCATTAAGAACTGTGCATTTGGATTCTGCTTCTCGGTTCTTAACTTCCTGCATATTTCAGCTCCTGACTGAACTGCAGTGAGCCTTTCACAGTCCATAAAAGTGTCTCTCATCTGCCAGGAGCTGCTCCGCCGCCCTAACGTCACCTCATTTGTTACGCAGTACGTCAACAAAGCATGAAGAAGAGAGTCCTTCTGTTTCCAGTCCTGGACCATGGCGGACCGCAGTAAAATGCAACACCTGCAGTAAGGAGGTTTGGTGCGAGGGAGGAAGCGGCTCCAACATGACGAAGCATTTACCTCAACACGGCGTGAATCTGAAGGAACGCACCGTGTTCGATGTGCCGCTCTCTCCCAGCTACAACGACGCCCCACATACAGCTAACGCTAACAGTAGCAACGTCTCAGGTACAAAAACACAGGTGAGCTGACTGAAACCAATGATGTCTACAAAGGATTCAATATATTTTTCTTAGAGACCAGTCCTCAGAGACGCCCCTCCAGTACAGAGACTCCTTTCACTTTAGCCATGAAGGGGAAGATGAGCAAGGAGGAAGAGGATGAAGGTCACAGAGCGCTGACAAGATCTGTGGTGAAGGAACCAGAACCAAAAGAGTCCATAAATAGAATCAGAATCGATCACATTGAAACGATACCCAAACCAAAAGCAGGATCAATGATCATATGTGCAGTGAAAGACTCAGAATTTCAGAAAGCTTCATATTTTTTAAGGATAATAAAGCACAAACTGCTTTAACTGCATGCATTTCCCGCTAATCGAAGGAAGCTTTTTAACAATTTATTTAGCTTTAGGAGAAGTAAGAGTGTAAAACCCATAATTTAGCACGTGACTCAAGTTTCATACTTTGCGACACTGAGATGATTGTGTCACATGTAACAGGTGGACTCTTGTCTACGTTGGGAAAAGTTCAGATTAAAAAGGAACAGGTCGACACGCTTGTTTGCTTTCTGGTCAAGAGTTAGCTGAGAAGATCGATACCGCTCTCATATCTGTCCATTAAATATAAAGCCAGAGCCAGTAGAATGTTAGCTTAGCATAAAGACGGGGGAAACAGCTGGCCTGGCTCTGTCTATTGGTAAAAAAAATAAAAGTGTCTGCCAGCAGCTCTAAAACTCACTAAGTAACACATTACATTTGTTTAATCTGTACAATGCGTATAGATTAAACAAATCTTCAGATTACACAGAAATGTAAAAACATCAATTTGATTGAAAGTGATTTTATTGGGGTGATGTGCTGGACTATTTCTTGGCAGGACGCCAACAGTCTCCTGGCTGTAGCTTCATATTTAAAGGGCATATCAAAGTATCTATGGTCCAGTTAGGCTCTCAAGTTTAAGTCTGCTTGAAGACTACTAATTTAAACAATGACGTCGTAGAGCAGACAGCATCCCTAAACTGTCTTTATTACCTCTTTAACACTCTCAAATATCATACACAAGTCATAAAAATCCCCACCCCATACATGAAATCCCTTCGTATCAGCAAGTTAAAAAATCTGTGCACAGAATGTGGAAACAGCAGAAATTTACAGCTAGAATTATTTCACAGAATATGAATATGTGAATAGCTAAGTTAAAAATCTAATTCATAATAACAGAAACGAACAGTTTATGAACATTTAAACAGGTGTAGATGTAATATTCTAGTTCCACAACATCCAAAATGAAATGCCAAGTACCAGTGAAGACGTCTGTGTTTATTCAGTTCCTGTGAATTAATCCAACAGCCAATCTTACTTGGCAACTCAAAATTATTTTTTTAAAATTTGCAGTTCCTCTCAGCGTTACAAACAGAGCGATATTCTCCTCGATGTATCAAACCCTCAGACAAACATCTTGAGAAGAATAACATAAATATATATATCTTCATAAACTCATCTAGTGTCTATAGCCCTTCAAATGTTCAGTCACTTTGCATATCAGGACACAGCAGAGTGGGAATAAATTAAAATAAGCCAAAAGGAGAACCAATAAATAAATAACATCAACTCCACATTTTTCTTAACTTTCAAAACATCTCAAATAACAGTTTAAACTATCAATTTAGACAAATTAGGACATCACATCTAACTGATTTAAATATGGCTTCCGTTTGCTCCCCGCCGCTTCATAATGTGCAGGGACTCTTCTAATATCCTAATATATGAGTTAAACTGGTGTTTAACTTTGGATGTGAAATGAAAGAGTAACACAGAGCCCGGCCTTCATCCTGCTCTCCCTGAAAAACATCTTTTCAGTCCATCGGTGATAAAACAGAAGGGCTTCAGCAGAACCATTTGGTAGCCATATTGGAGGTCCGCAGCATGTGATTGTACAAAATAAAAGGCTGTTCTCAGAATAGTTTGGTGGACATGTTTAACTGGTAAGTTCAGTGTATTTAAACCTGGGCCATATTTCCATATAGGCTTGTGTTGAAATGATCAGTAGGTACCGAAGAGTTTTGAATCTGTACAGTAGATGCTTCAGCCGGCAGCTAAACCGGCTGCAACGTATTCCTTCGTTCCCAGAAAGTGGAAAGGATCCCTACGAGGGACTCTCAGTGACACCTTTATTTTTAACAGGAAACTGAAGTCTCGCTCTGCAATCTTATAAGAGGCGAGTTGTTGTAGGAAGACGCTGGTGTAAACGAGGGAGAGGAGTTTGTTGAGGAGCTGCTAGCAAGACTTTATTTATTTTATTATTATTATTTAACGTTACTCCAACACAACACCAGCAACAACTCACCTCTCATGAGATTTCAGAGCAAAGCTCATCCTTGAGCGAGATTTCGGTTTCCTGTTAAAAACAAAGGGTGCCACTGGGAGTCACTCATAGGGTTTGCGGCTGCCGGCTGATGCCATCTACTGCACAGATTCCACAACTTTTTGCAACTTTTTCCACACCAAAATATGTAAAAATACCATTTAGACTCTGATCTAAAGATCACTGGCCCATCTCACTTTATTTGGCTTATTAGAAACTCTTTAGCTAATCGTCTTTGTGTTGTTGTTCAGACATGCCAGTTAGCAGTGATTCAAGGTGGTGAAAGGTCAAAAAAGCGTTAAAGTTGTTTAAATATCTAGGTTGCATAATAAAAACAACATTCCTGCGGACCACCAAACCACAAACCTAAATGGATCGTCTCAGATCTTTTGGCTGGCTGCTCTGCTAAAAACTGGATTCAACTATAAATACATCAAAAATCTGAACATGACCACTGAATTTGTTTTGTCAAAGAGGAGATGTCAATACTGGCACAATAATATTTTTCTTTTTCAGGACCAAAGTGGGACCATAACAAGAATTTAGTCCTAAACATTCTGCATTCACATCCTGCACAGACCAGTTTTTATCCCAGCTGTACAGCGTGGCAATAAGACATCAGGGACTTTAAGGAACCTGCCGGTCCACATGTCCTGCTTCTGTTTCAGTCACTATATCGCAAAAACACAAACACGTTTGTTTGAGCTGATTTTTCCCCAAATGGGTGACAAAAAGAGAAAACCAGGAGGAGAAGGTGAGGAGAGAGGCTCATGCCGACGCTGCATTTGTATCACATGGGATCAACAGACACTTTCTTCTTATTATTATTATTGTTCCCACATGGGATATTTAAAATATCATGAAAGGAGCTTTTGAATGGTGTTGACTTTACTTTGTTGTTGGCTGGGTTTTGTGTTTTTGACAGATGTTAAAGAGCAAGTATGCCCAATATATTGTGCCAGACCTCTTATAGTCAGAGCCACTACAAAGACAGGGAGTCTGGTGGAGCTTTGACAGCCTGTAGAAGAGCGTTTATGTACCCTTAAAGAGTTTCTGTGTGGGTGGGGCGTTTCGTACGAGAGAATCTACCGGTGTGTGTGTCTGTGGGAAGCGCCAGTACACAGCTCTGAATGCAGGCCAGCTATCTTGAGGACTGATGTGTAAAAGAAGAACTCTTTTTAACTTTATTCACAGTATTCATATCATCACTTCATCTCCCAATCGCAGGTCAAAACCACAGTTCCAGAGAAACGGTACAAAAGCCTCAAACACACATAAATGATGTGTGGAAAACTGAGAAGGATCCGTTTTTATCTGATCTACATCTACCTGTTTCCAAAAAGTTGGCACGCTGTGTAAAAGGTAAATAGAAAAAAAATGTGATGTTATGCAAAACATCGACACCATCCATCCATCATCAACCGCTTATCCTGCGTCGTGGTGGGCCGGAGCCAATCCCAGCTCACATCGGGCGAAAGCGTGGTACACCCTGGACAGGTCCATCGCAGGGATCAAAACATCGAAAACACATATTTAATAGAAAATAGCACTAAGACAACTTATCAAATGCTGAAACTGAGAAATGTTATTGTTGATTGAATAATATTATACGCCCATTTTGAATTTGATGCCAGCAACAATTTTCTAAAAAAGTTGGACCACTGGCAACAAAAGACTGGAAAAGTTGTGAAATACTAAAAGGGATCTGCTTTATATACGTCTTTGCATGGTAGAGTTTCAGCTTGCATTTGTGAACGCAGCGATGAGCTGTGTTCAGAGACGATGAAGTGTTTTTGGAAGTGTTGCTCAGTGATGTCCAATAAAGAATCCCAAAGAGTGCCCAAAGGCCACGGCCATCCAGTATTAGTTTTCAGCCCTGACCCTTGCATGTAGAGATTTTTTCTGATTCTCTAAATCTTGTATAATAATAAATAATGATTCCGGCAAGATTCTTTGCAATTTTACATTGAGATACATGATTCTTAAATTGTTGAGTGGTGAATCCCTCCACATCTTTACTTCAGAAAGACTGGGATGCTCTCTTTACACCCTATCATCTTACTAACTGATCAATTGCGAGATGTTCCACCAGGCGATTTCTTTTAGCATTTCACAACTTTTCCATTCTTTTGTTCTGTCCCAACTTTTTGTGTTTCTGGCATCAAATTCAAAGGTAGGTGCTACAGAACAGTATACAATAACCTGGTGACTCTAACATCCACCTGCAAATTAGTAGCTGTTCATATTGTACATAAGGCATATATATCATCCACCTGCCTCATGTACATAATAATATTGTATAATGTACATAAAGTATTGCATAATTACTGCACAGAAATATTTATTTATTCCAGCATCCTTTGCACTATCTCACTACAAATCTGCTGTCTACAAATGTTTTTTTTGTCTATGGTTGTGTGTACATGTTTACTTTCTTTGTAGTCTGTTGTTCAGCTTGTTGTCCTGTTTGTTAATGCAGGTAATGTTTTTTGTATGTATACTGAGAGTAATATAAAACCGGTGTGTATGTGTACACATCTCAGGCCATTAAAGGTGATTCTGAAATGGATATATAATTTTCCAAAAACCATACAGTTTCCTAGGTTCATTTCATTAGATAAGTTGACTTTGTGCTACATCATCACATTTTGTTAATATTTGCATTTTACTCAGCAACTTTTGTGGAAACAGGGTTGTCTTGATATTTAAAATGGGATCATGATCAAATATCATTGTCTTAATAAATCATCTTAACTACAAGTTCTCTCCCAAACATTTAAAAATATAAGCAGCTTCTGCTCTTTTCATCATTGAGGCTGATGTTTTGAGGAAATGCTGCAACTATTGACAAAATTAAAAGTACTTTTGTATTTTATCTGAGACGAGTAATATATTTTGGGTTTAGTCCCTCTTTACATCACTGTGATTCTCTGTGTTGATGTTCAGTGAACGTTGATGAGCTTACAGAAATGTTAACAACAAAATATTTCCACATAAAGTTTAATTTGGAGTGTGATTTTTTTCCCATGTGACAAAATGCAGCAAATAAAAAGGGGGTGTGGTCAGGGCAGAAAGAGGGCAGGGCCTGCAGGTGACTGACAGAAGCCTTTTGTCACGGTTACGTTAGCTCGCTCCAGCTATAGGCCACAAACAGCAGAACTAGGCAGAGGATGTGAAGCAGGCTTGAGCCAATAAGGTCCCAGATTTGCCATGCGGGAGGCGGGGTTTGGGTGGTTACAGAAACCAATGAGGGAGTCTCTGACACCCCAGAGGAGGTGGGGTTTGGAGTCGAGATTGCCTGTTTCCTGTGCAGAGATGTCGCATCCAAGGCAGCCAGTGCCTGAACTGTGGCACAAACCGGCTGCAGGCGGCACTGGATGATGTCATAAGGCGAACAGAGGGAAGACTGGCACCCCCATTGTGAAGACGGTGGAAAAATATATGGAAGGAGAGGAAGGAGGGACAAGAATGGAAGGAGGTGGGAACGAAACAACAAAAAGGAGGGAAGAAGGGAAACAAGGAAGGAAGAAAGGAGGAAAGGGAAAGGGGGAAACAAGAGAGGAAGGAGATGAGGGAAGGAAAAGGAGAAAATAAACGAAATAAGGGAAGGAGGGATAACAAGGGAAGGAGGTGGGAACGAAACAACAAAAGGAGGGAAGAAAGAAGAGGAAGGAGATGAAGGAAAGATAAGTGGAAAAATAATGGAAGCAGGAAGAGTGATGACAAAAGAAAACATAGATGGAACAAATGTGGGGGGAGGAAACAAGGGAGTGAGTAAAAGAATGAGAGTAGAAAGTTGGAGGTAAAGACGTGCAGGAGTGTTTACAACCAAAAAAAAGGAGAAGAGACAGGTGAAATATTCTCCCAGAAAGAAACCAACCAAAAACATTACAAAAAGAAGATATAAACGTAATAATAGAGGATGGTGAAACAAAGGAGGAGGAGGAGAGGAAAAGGATATGTGATGAAGAGGATGGGGTCGCAAAAAAATGAACAAACCGTTGAATCAAAATCAAAAAGTTTTAGAGGCAGAAATGATCCAGAGAAAAATTAAAACAGAAAAAGAAAATATATACAAAAGAGAGAATGTCGATGAAGAGAAGAAAAGAGGAGGAAGAAGAGAACGGAGCGAGACGTGGTGCGATCCAGCCGGAAAGTAAAAAAGAGAAAGAAAAGGCAGGAGGTTAACCAACCAATGGACACAGAGGTCAAAGGTCACAAGAGAAAGTGAGCTCGATGGGGTGAACAAGCAGGGATGCTTACTGAGAGGATGGACAGGTGAGACCTCTCCTCTCCCAGTAAGCAGACCGTGATGAGGAGAGAGGTGGCTGATGGGAGAGCCAGTGCAGGGTCAGCCAGCAGCGCAGCAAGTTAGCACAGAAGCTGTTAGCACGTTAGCTTGGAGATGCTTTTAGCACGTTAGCTTGCAGAAGCGTGGCCAGTAAAGCAGGCTAGTTAGCAACGTCCACACAGAAGCTGGAAACAAGTCAGCAAGCAGCAGGGATGGAGGTCAAAGGTCAACCAGTCAGTTCAGAGAAACAGCTTAGAACAGGATGAATCAAAGACATTGACCCTTTCTGTCTCTTTTGGGTTTTTTTCAACCAATGTTTTGTAAAAATTCTACAATTACACATTAACACGACGTTATAAAACATACAAACATAAAAAGAAACGAACAATCCTGACTGACAAATTAATAAAGTGCCAGGGATGTGAGAAACCTTTAAACTCAAACTTACATTATTCCCTTTCCTGGTTTAAATATGGATCATTTGAAGGGAATGACATCATCATAATGGCCAGCTGTCAGCCTGAATAAACTACCTCTCTCACTCTCGTTTAAACCTGCATTCTCTCTAATGGCCAGCAGGGGGCAACTCCACTGGCTGCAGAAGAAAGTCTATGAGAAAATGAGACTTTAGGGCGGGGCCACTACCATGGCAACCTGTCAATCAGGATAGAGGCGACTCATTTTAACCAGCCTTGTTGAAAAAGCAAATTAGGAGTCAGCTGTTTTTTTCCGTTAAGTACATTTTCTTCTGTTTGTTGCTAGCCAAAATGAACATCACGGTTAACAAGAATTATGGAAGCACTTGATAACCAAGCTAGCTAGCTTCACCCTCGATCAAATAGGGTCAAAAAAATGGCGACTGCCAAAAAGCCAGAATTGAGGCAAAAAAAAAAAGTAGACCACAAACAAACAGGCTAAATCCACTTCTTTCAAACAGTCTGTAGTTCTCTCCTGTCCCCTCATCCTGTGTCAATGTGAAACACCCCAGTGAGACAGAGAGAGGCTCAACTGTTTTATTGTGATTTATTTGTAAAACTCCTACGACTGACGCGCCTATATCTTTACTGTCAGTGTGTAAAACACCTTTTCTGTTGATTCATTCTGTTGCAGATTTAAAGGGATAGTTAGACATTTAGGGAAATAAGTTCATTGCCTTTCTTACAAAGAGTGAGATGAGAAGATGGACACACACCTGTACAAACCGGTCAAAACGATGCTAAAGACAGCCGCCGTTTAGCTTAGCTTAGCTCAAAGACTGGAAACAGCTAGCCTGGCTCTGTCTAAAGCCAACAAAATTCTATTAAACACACTAACACATAGTTTTAGTGTTAAAAAGACCGGTGTTTTACAGGGGTTATGTGCCAGACTATTTCTTAGATGGGACCAAGGAAGTAAAACATAGTTTAGCACATAGCCCCCAGCAAAGCGCTGTTTTGTCATCTTTACACTTTGGTTTTTGTTTTGGATTAAACAAATGAGAAATGCAGTTGCTTCCTCCAAAGGTTCCTAGATCTGGGGTATAGTTCCTGTAGACGAAGCACGGTTTTTGACAAAGTCAGGCTAGCTGTTTTCCCTTATTTCCTATTTTTATGCTAAGCTAAGGTAACCAGCTGTTGGCAGTAGCTTTATATTTGAGGGTGGTGTCAGATCTTCTCACGTGACTCTCAGCCAGAAAGAGATAGGTGTATTTCCCAAAATGTCAAATTTTCCCCATTAAGACTATCTTTGGTTTTCTCTCCTGCTGCTGCTGTATTTCCCAGAATCCACCAGTGAGAGCATACAAACATTACCAGGGACAGATTCAGGACATTTATTCAGCTGCTACACATGCACTGAGACTGCATGTTCCCCTTTCACACATCCAGCCTGCACGCTAACACTCCTCTGACGCTGCTGAGGTGCAGATCTGTTTTCCAAAAAGTCAAATCTAATCTCTTTTCAGTGCATTTTCTCTCTCTCTCTCACACACTCACACACACACACACACACACACACAGTAAACCCAGACCAGCTCTGTTTCAGACTGCCGTTTTGGTCAACTCCTGTCATGATGGAGGAAGCTGGAAGCCACAGGCAGCGGTGACAGTGGTGATGATTCAGCGTTAAACGTCGACACATTAACAACCCAGTTTAAAAAGCAATGTGAACAAAAAGGAGGCAGGGAGGAACATTAAACCAGTGCTGGGAAAACGCTGGGCGAGTTTTAATTTAGAAACATGATTTGGGCGGTAGAAGACATAAATGAGAGTGTCGCACTCAGCAGTTCTTTGAGGTAAAGACCTCACAGGCTGTCGTGAGTAGGTTCAGATTTCAATATAAGTTTCCAGGCTTTGTGTTTTGTCGAGTATCAATTCTGGATTTCAGGAGGATCTGGTGACAAACAGATTGAGAACTGCTGCTGTTTAAAACATGACCCCATCAGCCTTCCTCCCAGATCTGGTTTAGAGTTTAGTGTCGTCATCAGTGTCCTGCAAAAATCCTCGGCTTCACTTTTACCTTGTTTACCAACATCAATGTCATTAATGTGAAATAACGTTTATGTTAATGTTACATGAACAGCTAATGTTCTAGAGACTGAAGAAATTTTTGCAGGACACCTTCACAGTTCCTTTTACATCTTCTTGTGGTTATTTGATCAACAATCAGTTAACTGAAGCCAAAACATGTTGATGAGGAGGTGAAAATGTTGGTTTCTCTGATGAACTGGGGGTGTTTTCAGGTTGGAGGTTCAAATCCCTGGACTGACTGAATGCTGAACGACTTCAGCAGCGGTGGAGCTGCCATGTTTGTTTATAAGCTATAATTTTCTATAGAACAAATTGGACAATAGAGCTGCAACAATTAGTCAATTCATCAAATAGTTGTGAACTATTAAATTAATCAGCAACTATTTTGATAATCGATTAATTGTCCTAAGAGTCCTTTTTTTAAAAGAAAAAACATCCAATTTATCTTATTTCAGCTTCTTCAATGTGAATATTCTCTGGTTTCTTTATAAGCTATAATTTTCTATAGAACAAATTGGACAATAGAGCTGCAACAATTAGTCAATTCATCAAATAGTTGTGAACTATTAAATTAATCAGCAACTATTTTGATAATCGATTAATTGTCCTAAGAGTCCTTTTTTAAAAGAAAAAACATCCAATTTATCTTATTTCAGCTTCTTCAATGTGAATATTCTCTGGTTTCTTTATAAGCTATAATTTTCTATAGAACAAATTGGACAATAGAGCTGCAACAATTAGTCAATTCATCAAATAGTTGTGAACTATTAAATTAATCAGCAACTATTTTGATAATCGATTAATTGTCCTAAGAGTCCTTTTTTTAAAAGAAAAAACATCCAATTTATCTTATTTCAGCTTCTTCAATGTGAATATTCTCTGGTTTCTTTGCTCCTCTGTGACAGTAAACTTAATATATTTGGGTTGTGGACAAAAGAAGACATTTGAGGACATCACCTTGGAAACATTTTTCACAATTTTCTGGACCTAAAAACTGATTGACAAAATAATCCACAGATTAATCGATAATATTCATTAGTTGCAGCCCAACTGGACAATAAACACAAAACAGGGTAACCCTGCACAACAGGGGTTTTCTGTAATACTTTTCCACCCCATTAAACAAAATCAAGACTGCCTGCATTTCCCATGAAGCTTTGGATAATAAACAGGAAGTATAATGTTGCAGTGGATTCAGGGAGTTAGGTGTAGGCTTGTGTGCACCAATAAAAGTAGCTGAATTAGCTGTTAGCAGTTCCTGTTTGCAGTGTTCCCATGGATGTGCAGACAACTATCACGGGACTACTACTGAAGAAAACTTACAATCATAGGAACCTAGGACCCCCAGTTCAGAGAGAAGGCCGTCAGAGCACCAACGGGGTGGGGTGGGTCACATGTCTTACCTCTGGTACACCAATCTTCCTGCAGGCGTCCAGGAAGTTCTCCACATTTCTCCGACACTTGGCCATGCTGAGTTTGGGCTGGAAGCACAAAGACACATTTACAAAACAGGACTACTTTTCTGAAAACAAACAGAACACATTTCACCAAGATTATGAGGTACTTGTTGAGATCAGAAATAAAATCCTGGACATTTATCTCAGTAGTCGTAGGTCAGGACTGACAGTCTGAGACGTACCACTGCAGGCGAGGGCACGTGGATGCTGCCAACAGAGCGTGGCCGAATGTGATTGGCCAGATGGCAGAGCACGACGCCGTCCATCAGAGAGGACCCGAGGTCTTCAGGAAGGGCGACCTTCAGTCTGCTCTCGATGCTCTGAGGAGAAAACGACAGTTTAGAGAGGTATGTGTGAGTACGATGGGCTCAAGTTGAACCAGGAAGTCGTCTTCAATATCTAAAGGGCTGTTAAATCTAGCTGCATTTCCCCTATAAATAAACTGTTTTTATGACTGATAGAATTAGTTAGTTACAAGATCCAGGTTGTAATTCCCCCACCCACAGAATATCCCTTTAATCAGACACTAATGATTAGTGAACAGTGAGGTGTGTGTGTCTCACGTCTCGCAGTTGCTCCATGAGCTCCAGCTCCTCTCGCAGCTGCTCCATCTTTCTCCTCATGGTGAACTGAGGATCAACAGACTCCAGACTCTTGTGGCTTCGCAGGAACACTGCAAACAAACACGACAGCAACAGGCAGCGTTAGACTGAGACCGCAGCAACACAGTAACACAGCCAGAGTCCGTGCACATTAGGAGGGCCACAGGAATATCTGTAAAACACACAAAGAGTTTCACAAACTCCTGCTGAGCTGAGAATGCATGAGTGCTCCAGTCAAATTACAGCTACAGAGATCATCCTGAGCACAAACACACACACAGACCTCGAAAATATCCCCTCAAATATTCACGTGTGTGTGAGGTTATTCCATGCTTCAGTATCATCAAGATGACTACACTGTTCAGCACTTTGTGGAAGCATCACCTTTGAGCAGTGCAAACATCTCTCCTACAGCTGCAAAGTGCTTTATTTAAAGTGTTCAGTCATTAAAATTTCAATAGCTTTCAGTACAACTAAAAAGTCATGGTCATCTTTTCAAAGAAATGGGTCCTTGATCTCAGACAGATGTAGGCTTAAGTCATCTGAAGTTAGCTAGCTAACAGTAACTAACATTAAACGAGTTAACTTTGTGTGTGGTTATTAGGTACACCGAACTAAATCTAACACAGTCTAATAATAAATCATCTTGATGAAGGCTATAATGTTCAGTTTGTGTTGAAACAGGTTGAGTGAGTGTTGACTGAACTGTATGACCAACAGTTTGTGCTGCTGTTGAACTGAACTATAGAGAGAGGTGTTTCTGTTATTTAGTCCAACCCCACGGATGTAACTGCAGAGGACTGAGAAGAGCTTCAGAGTGGTCTGCTTTAATCTGGATGCAGAAAACTGACTTCCTGTACGTCCACATCTGTACACACATACGCAGTGACACAGAAGTCCTTTCTGCCATAAAAGATGTAAAAGGCTTACGTAAGATTCACACGCACTCGTGCAGTCAGAGCTCAGTGCACTGTGTAATAACAGCCTGCAGAGCAACACGCTGAAAACTGATTACACACTAAAACCTCTGTGTGGAGAAATGTTTTGTCATCTGTCAGATTATTCTGATGGCAGAAGATTACATTCGTGGAAATAATTAGGTAAAGCTAAATAAAACTGGTGCACTTCATTTTGGTTAAAAAGGGGTTCAGTGTCTTGCTCAGGGACAAATTGGTGGATGTGTTGCAGTCGGAATTAAACCAGGGTCTTCCACACCAAAGGCTTGTCCAGGTCTTATCCAGTGCACCACCCATTGGACAGAGCAAGGCTCGCTTGCATCTAATCTTTATGCTAAGCTACGCTAATTAGCAGCTGACTGTAGCTTAACAGACAGATATGAGAGAAGTATCTTCTCATGTCTAACTCTCTATAAGAAAGTCAATGAGGATATTTCCCAAATTGTCAATATGATATGAATCAGAACGAGGGCTCGATGGGAACTGGAAGTAATAAGTAGAATCACATTCAGTAAACGTTTAACTATAACAGGCTCAGAGAGAAGAGCAGTTTTTCTTAACAGTGTGTAGGAGGACAGAGAGCAAAACACACACCCACATACATGAAACACACACACACACACACACACACACACACACACACACAGGTGAATCATTCATCTCCTCAGTATCCTATTTTCTGCACACATAAATCTGCCTTTTCCAGCTAAACACAGCTTGAATCTGTGTACGTCCACTGAGTGACCATGAGGGGGAGCTACTGGGTCACTACAGTGGTGCTCAACTGAAGACATGTCCTCTGCAGGATGTGAACGTTTTGGTCTTCACAGTTGAGCACTTAAAACTGCATTTTAACACTCTCACAGCCCTGACACAGCAGGAAGCTCTTCACTAAACTACAGACGTCTTAAAAACAAAAACATGTCTCTGGTTTTAGGTTAGCAAAAAGTGTATATTGTGGAAATGGTCATGAGACAACAACGTAGTGGGAGGCAAATAAAACAAACAAATAATATGACTTGATACTTGAACTTTTGGTTACTTAAGGTAAACATGGGCCTTTCAACTGGGTTGGTGAGAAATTAAAAAGGGAGAATGAGAATGATAATGTGCACTGCGCAGGTGTTTTTATCATCTCAGGTCGGGGTAGGATGTTCACGAGTCTGAGGAAACGTGAACAGCCTCTTGAACATCCAGCAGAATGAAAGACCCAGTAATGAGTTGTTTGTTTCAGATAATCCTGAGTGACGTGTGGTCTCTTGGAGGACAGAGGGAAAGGGAATATAATGAATCCAGTAGTTTTATCTCAGTTTTATCTTCTAGGTCAAGTCATCTTCCTCCTCCTCCTCTCTCTAAATGTCTCACTGCCATCTGCACAGTTTGAGCCTGCAGCATCTTGTTTCTGTGCCTCCACTGAAGGGTTATTAAAAGGTTTTGGAGGATATTTTTAAAATGCCATGGGACTTTATGTCATCTACTTCTCGAGTAAACTATTTCTAGCTCGCTAAATGTAGGAACTCGCTCGTACAGTCGCCGCCTTGAAAGACAGTGGCCTGGGTCACCATTTCACAAACAGAACCACAGTCTTTTATAAGATCAGTCACTCAGTAGTAAAAACAAAATGAGAGGTCCACACAGTTTCTCAAAGATAGTTTACAAGTAGGGATGTCACGATACCAAAAATTTAGTAGTCAATATAATACCAGTGAAATTGCACGATGTCTGATACCCAATTCGATACCTCAGTAAAAAACAAAAACCAAACAATAAATCCCATGTACTTCAACATACACTCCTTTAATAAAAACACACTGTAGGAAAATGAATACCATTGTGTTTTCAGAATTTTGCCATCAACTTGGTACCCAAGACTCGGTTCTCATGACATCCCCATTTACAAGTAACCATTTCTATAAAAGGTTTGACCTTCAAAGGTTTCCATTAACATTTATCATCCTCCTGCAGTTGTTCAGCAGATTATTAAAGAGAAATTGAAACGAGGCAGATACAGCTTTCAACAGCTTCTGCTGTACAGCCCTTCACAGTACAATACTACGTCTACACTATGTCATAGAAAAGTAAAATACTTTGTAATACGTCATAGCTGCGCCTCTTTTTGGGCGATCCCTAAAGATCCTATAGATGCCAATGCAATTTAAGGTGTGTTTGGATCATGTCATGTTAACCAAACCTTGTTGTTTAGACATCTCTTTTGTGACTGATCCAAAGCGTTCACGCTACCTTAATAAATTAAAGTTAATCGGTCAGCTGTCATGCCCCTTCAAACTTCCCACATCCGAATGGATCAATAACCCAACACAGGGGCCAGATGTTGCTCATCTGGACGTCCGATTAAATCTCCAGGAATCTTAGGGTAAGATATACTTTATTGTGTTTGTTTACAACCAACTGTTTGATCTCGGCTAGGCTGAGATTTAGCTGGTTCTACTGTATGACTGTACACTGTCTATGACAGTGAATATTAAGGTGTTTTGCCTCAAATGCACCTCTGTATTTGTATGTTTATTTGTTTTACAAGCTGCTACACAACAGCTTTTCTACATTTTACTGATTATCTCATTATGCAAAAACTGAAAAAGGGTACGACTGCACTGAATGTTCGAAAATAGCAAAAACAACAACAACAACAAAAAAAAACAGGTTTGGTGCTCAGCCTAATACGTGTCAAAAGACTGAAGAAATTTTACCGAAAAATTACGTTGACATGTCAGCAGTGTGGAAGCATTCTAAAGTGTCTGAGAAAGATGCAAAAATTGCCATTTGCAGACACTGTTATGCTGAATTGGCTCCTAGCACATCCACTCCATCTGTGGCTGACTTCTTAGAAAAGGCAACAAACGGATGAACAATTGGATGAATACTGAACGCTTGTTTGGTGTTCAGTATTCATCCAATATTTTCATTATATTCGATTTTTCATTTCTATCCCTAAAAAAGGGGGATGCAGCGTTTGTGCCAGACAGAAATTACCAAAAAGTCTGCTAGCAGCTCTGTGAGTCTGTACTGCAGCACACTGAGCTAAATACATCCACATGCTAACAATAACAATGCTACCATGCTGATGTTGACCATGTTCACAATCTTAGTTTAGCATGTTAGCATGCTACCATTAAAGAAAAGTATTGTACAAATTCAAACTTTGAAATGATGATGGCACTAGATGAAAAGTCTGGATCACCAACCTTCTTAAAGTTCATCCTGAGGTGAACATGAAGGTCTGAACTGCATTTCATCACAACCATCAACAGCTGCTGAGATGTTTCATGAAAACCAAAGATGTCACCTCATGGTGGAGCTAGAGTTAAAGTCAAGAGATCACCAAAGGCAGTAGGACTTTAAATATCTGTACAAATGTTTGAGCCAATCCATCCAATAGCTGCTGAGATATTTCAGTCTGAACCAAAGTGGGACCGACTGCTTGGTGCCACAGACGGTAAATCTTGCCATCACCTGTTTCTCTTTGGTACAGTTAACAGATAATATCTCTGATCAGGGAGCTGATCTGGTGTTTGTCTGTGAGAAACAAACATTTTCCCACAGTGTGGCGTTTATTTCTATTCTGAGATCTGTGAGTCTGTACAAATGTGCAGACAGAGCAAAGTGCTGCCACTGCTGAGGCCTCAGGTTCAGGTCCTCTGAGGGCACTATGGAAGGAAACTAAGTCGTTTTCATAAAAGAGAATCAGAAATATTAAAGTGAATATACACAAATTAATATAGAAAAACAACCCTATAAAATTGTTTTATATTTAGATTTATAATTACACAGATGGCACCAGCTGGTTGGTACCAGCTCTTTCTTTTTCATGTTTTATTGAACTAAGTAGTTCTACACATATGTACTTTCTTGTATGTATATAGCTTTTAATAATTTCTTTAATTTTTAAGTAAAAACATCCGTTTTCCTCTTTCTCTCCTTTTCCGCTGTAAAATATAAATGTTTCTGCTTGGAGATCAACAGTCTTCAATTTCATTTGAGCAGTAGCCTTGGAAACAGGATTCATTGAAAACAGAACTTAAATTCATCTTTAGCTGCATTGCATTTTGGTGTTTTTGGTGAAAGCAGATGACGGCAACAACCTGCTTCACATTCAC